ATAAAGTCACCAGATCAAGGAAACGGGAATCCAGTACTGAGGCTGCAGCTAGCCTAAATGGAGCTTTTTGTGTGAACTAGAAAACAACTCCTCCTCTGCAAGGATGAATTTTTAAACAGGAGCCCTTCTAGCCAGTTGCAGCTGCCAGGGTACACAGCTTGGTAAGCCAAGGATGGACATTTCCACCTCACTGCCCCTCAGCTGGGCATAAACTGAGGTAGTCCTACCAATATGAAGCCCTAGGATTTCAGTTGTGACAATCCTAGGTAGTAAGTCTTCCTTCCAGTTTGGAGCAGAAAGACAAAAGGCTCCAGGAAAGAAGGAAGTATCGGGGTGGGGGGGGGGGAATGGAACTAATGTGTTTAAAATGATGGAAAGTATTACAGTGAAACCTGAGTGCTGGAACTCGAAGGCCTTGCTTGTTTTTCCAGGTCTTGAAAGTGTTCTGCCTTTGACAGTGTACAGTCTTACCACTTTTCTATTGCTTGTTTTAGTGGAAAATATTTGAGTTTTCCTGCTCTGACAGGTTTCTGCAGGTTTTACTGTACTGATAGGCATGTGGCAGACAGTATAGCATTTGGGGAAAATTTTTAATAAGTACATACAGGGTCAGGCAAATGAATTTAAAAAAGAGGCAATTATGAACTCCAGGAAAAAAATAAAGGGATAAAAGAAAAAAAAGTGTGACTCTAAAACAGTAAACAGCTTAGTCATAATATGTAATAAAACTATGTTGAGGAAGGTTGAGGTGGAAAATGAGGTGTTGGTGTTGTGAGAGGGTTAATCCCTATTCACCATGGTGGGAAGTCAATAGATAATGGTGAAAAAATGATAAAGAAAGAAATGGCTGTATATTATTTAGAAACATGGAGATAGATGCCAGTGGAAGTAGCTGAAATTGTTGAGGGTCTACCTTACAGGAGTGAGGTTTGGAGATTGACTTTTACAAATATAACTATTATTTTGATAAGAATAAAACTAATTTCCAGGTCTAGATTTGAAAAACTGCATCTGGCATGTGGTACCTCTCCATGCAGCATCTAACCCTCCAGAGACTCTCTACATGGCTTGGGATAAATTTGAGATACTGATTATACCTATGGAGCCCTGGTGGCCCAGCAGTTAAGAGCTATGGTGAGCTACGGCTGCTAACCAAAAGGCTGGCAGTTTGAATCCACCAGCTGCTCCTTGGAAACCCTATGGTGAAGTTCTACTCTGTCCTATAGGGTCACTATGAGTTGCAACCGACTCAATGGCAACAGGTTTTTGGTTTTATTATAAGTGGAGACATTGAATAAGTAGTTAAATATTCAAGTTCAGAATTCAGGGGAGTGGTCTGGGCTGGAGATCTAAATTTGGAATTGTGTTAGAGATGGTAGATCAGGATATTATTCAGCATGGCAGCCCAGCAGCCCGTGTAACTGTCTAGCTGCATTCTCAGGCCTCACTCCCAGCTTAGTTTCTACAGACCAGCTTCAGCCTGAGCCCTCTGGCAAGTTCCTCTGAGTTAACAGTTCTTTATTATAACATTTTCCCTGTTCAAATAACTAGTGTGATTTCTATCTCCTGACTAGACCCTGACTGATACATTACACGTGTGGCCATTTTGTAAAAATTCAAGATTTTTACTTTAAAATTGTGTATTTTTGCACATTTTATTTTTTGGTGTACAGTTTATTCAGGTAATTGTCAATACACTGATAAATGTGTTCTATTAAAAGATCATGAAGATATTACCCCTCAGTTCGTCTTATGGTTTGCTTCTTACAAATTTTAAGCTAGAGATAGTCAATATTTAAGCAGGGCACATCTTCCAAGGGTTCAAAGTATACTACATTGGTTACTGTATGCTGTTAATTTGTATAAATCCATTACCAATCGATGTTCAGTAGTATTTTAGAAACTGTAAAACATAGCTTTCAGGGTAAAGTTTACTATAGCATATGTAGTTGACATTATTTTGGAACAGCTGTCCTGACTCAGAGCCCTCCAGTAGAGGAATTAGCTCTGCCCTTTAGCTCAGCTTTATTGAGATGTAATTCCCGTACCATAAAGTTCACCCTTTTAAGAGTACAATTCAGTGGTTTTTAGTTTATTCAGAGTTGTGCAAACATTACCACTAATTCCAGAACATGTTTATCACTGCAAAAAGATTCCACACGCCCATTTAATTAACTTCCCATCCTACCTTCCCCCAGCTCCTAGCAACTACTTAATCTACTTTGTCTCTATTGATTTGCTTATTCTGAGTATTTCATGTAAATGAAATCATACAATATGTGGCCTTTTGTGCCTGGATTCTTTCATTTAGTATGTTTTCAAGGCTCAATCATTCATGTTGTAGCATGTATCAGTACTTTATTCTATTTTATGGCTGAATAACATTCCATTGTATGGATACATCACATTTATTTATCCATTTATCAGCTGATGGACATTTGTTTCCACTTTTTGGCTATTGTGAATAATGCTTCTAGGAACATTCACATATAATTGTGTATTTTAATTTTTAAAAAGTTTACTTAAAAAAAAGGGCTTTCTGTTATCTACACATGCCATGTTGCAGAGATTATGTTGAGCATCCTTAGTGTGGGCTTCTGAAAATCTGAAAGCATACAAATTGAGTATATGGCAAGTGTTCAGGGTTCTGCTTATGATGGAAATAATGAAATGCCCACGCAGTTTTGGTCCTTCCTTTTGAGTAAGTTAAGGGTGCCTTTGAATTTGTTGAGGGGGAAAAAAAAATACCTGTACAATAGTTAAAATCTTCCCCCATTTTTAGTTTTAGCAAGTAGATTATTCTACGCTGCTCAGGGCAGATGTCCAGAGTCTAGGGCTTTGAGGTGGCAACATTTTTCAAAGCTTGAAATGGAGGCCCTTACTACTATAATTCAATAACTTCTTACCTGGGTGTGAAAGGAGCTCACTGAAGTGAAGGTGATTTTGCCAGAAGATTTCTATTCTATTATGAAGACTTTACTTCAACCACAGCATTCCCAAATTACTACTGTTCACTTTTAGTTTTAGGATCTGTGCCAACAAGCAGATCCTAATTAGTATGTTTAATTAGGTTGGATGGCTCACATCTTATTTGCATGGATGGATCAAAGGGCAGCAAAATTCTGACAGCAACTTGCTTACTTTTCTCTGAGGGGGCGTTCATTAAAAATGCCCTGAGGGCGCCCAGAAAGGGGGCCAGTGGGCGACTAGTAAAGGGTACTCGTTTGCTGTTCATGCTGGTACCAGGTGTTAAGATGAGAAACTTTAACCTTCTGAAGGGGTCAAGTCAATGCTGATCCTTTTTAGATAGGCTTGCTGATTAATGGTTGAGCCTTCACATTTGTTAGCAAGTGACCTGATGTAAAGTGGTTTTTACACCTTTAAAACATTGTTCCATTGCCAAAAAAAAAAAAAAAAAGTTAACTGTGGTTACTTTCAAAACAAACTCAGGATTCAAAAAGAACTAGCATTAAGATGAATATTTTGATCTTAAAAGGAATGCTTTTTCCAGGCTCATGAAATGTTTATCGTGCCCCTAGCATGAGCTGGATCATGTTCCAGTGCTGAGTCAAGTAATAAAAAAGTGAAGAAGTCCTCACTTTATGGATCTTACATCCTTGTGGTGGCAATAACATAGTAATAAAATTAAGATCTGTTTTGCACTTTTAAGACTCTAAACATCTCAAAGCAAGCTTATTCACCATTTACCCCCGTGCCTGGCTCATATAAATGTTCAACAAACATCTGCTAAAGTAGTATCTTTTGTTGATACACAGAAACCTCAGCAAGGCCAATTTCTGTAGGAGGTTTAAGTCCACCTGGGGTTGACCAGAAAGATAGCCTAGACTCTGTTGTTTGTTCAAATCTTTGTTCCAGGAAGGCAATTAAGGCAATACACCACTCTACCACTTCTAATGGGAGTGTGGGGGTGGCAGCAGAGAAAAGGAAACTCTTTGAGATCCCTTAGGACCAGAGACTATGGGCAAAAACCTCAACTATGCACTTAAATCAGCATAGATTTACTTATGTAGCTTCTCTGTGTATCAAACGTTGTCCTAAGATATTATCTCACTTAATCCTCACAATAACCCAGGAGGTAAGTTTTTATAAAATGAAATGACCTCGAACAAATAAAATGCTCATCGATGGGAGGACCTTTGATTCATTCCTTCTAGGAGATTTTAATCTTCTAGTTCAGAAATTAAGTCCTTAGTATTTCAGAGGATGCAACTTGTTTTTTCATGTGTTCCCCACCCACTAAAATAAACTTTAAGATTCTGTGGCATGAGATCACTCACAGATCTTGGAATAGGACTATAGGTAGTCCCCAACTTACAATGTATTCAAGTTATGACAAACACACTTAACCATCTTTTTTTACGACAAACACACTTAAACTTTTTTTTTTTTTTAACATGAGCAAATTACATGTTGCAACACTGTATGTAGTATATTACTAACGCTAAGATCTTCAATGTGGATGAAACAGGCTTACTTTCGAAAAGGATGTCTGAATGGGCCTATATTCACAAAGAGGCGGAGCCGACTCCTGGTTTCAAGGCATTTAAAGATAGCATCATGCCTGTATTCAACTTAAATCAGAACTGACCCGTCGTCAGAATGGAACGCTATCGTTGAGTCAGGGACTACCTGTAGGTGCTTTTCTAATCATACTCAGTCCAAGTGGCTCTGAGGGTGGGTGAGATGGGATACATTTTAATCATTAGAACATACTCGGAATTTAGACCAGTCTGCTTACAAAATTAAGATAAATTCCCCTACCCTATACAGATTATTTTTACTAAAAGAGAATCTCCCTAATAGCTTGATAACTATGATTTTAAGAGAACTATGTAGATACAGAATTAACCTATTTTGGTAGTTGTTCAACAGACAAAGTACACCTACAGAACATAAAAATTGTTTATTCAGCCTAATCCAGCCAGTACTGAGATAGTCTGCTATATTAAAAACGGTGTTTTAAAAAATTACAGCAGTTAGCAAGGCAGTGACTAATGAAGTCACTAAGTTTAATTTTATATTCTTGTCACAGTCATTTGATAATCATGTAATGAACAATATTTTCAGCCACTTTGAATGGAGATAAGTTAACTTCTGCAAAGAACAGAATTCTACCAGCTGTCACTGAATTTTGTAAAAGAGGTTTAAAACATTAAAGTTTCCAGAAATAACACACTAAAGCAACATGAAAATAAACTGGAAAACATGAAGCACCCACCCATCCCAAAAATCTGTATCAGCCCTTTAACTTGTCCCCTAAGACCTTTCTTTTACATGTTCATTCCCTTTTCTTACAAAGTGGGAACATGTTTTCAAGAGACTGTTTAGCAACTAAGAAACAACTAATGCTCTGTAGGGGCTATTTTGAACCTAAGTGCCTGTTTAATTTCACAGATAATCCTGGAAATAGTGTTCTAAGTATTACTTGCATTCCCAAGATGAAGAAAACTGTAACTGAGAAAGTCACTTGGCCAAGGTATGTATTAACGCAGAGTTAGGATCTGAACTCAGGTCCGTCCAACTTTAAGTCAGCCTGTGCTCTTTTGTTGCTTAGTGGTGGCACAGGCCAACTTCCTGGAGAGACTGGCACGTGGTATCTCTTGAGCTAAGGCTCTTGAGATTGAAGTCTTCAATTCCAGGGTTAGAGGCCACTCTGGTCCCCAGGCACTTACAGTTCCCTCCCCACAGCCCTAGAAAACCTCCCCCAAAGATTAGAGTTGTTGTTCCCCTGGCCTTCATGAACCCTGATGCCAATAAACCCAAGCAGCTACTCCCCGATCTTGGGCATTAAAGTAGTAAACAAGGAACTGTATACTGTGTTAACTTTAGTAAAGGCTGCCTCAAAGCTGTTGTACATAACAAAACTATGCAGGAAGTTTCTATTTAATATGTCTTTGCATACTGAAAATGAAAAGTGAATATATTTTACAATTAGAGCTATGTTATCTATTTTTATATATAATCATAGATTTTATATTTCCCCTTCAGAACCATAGCAGTGTTCTTAATAAGGCTCAAATCTTCCCTCCCTCCCCAAATAATTACAACTTTGAATGTTCAACAGCTATTCACATAAACTCCATGTTATAACTCAAAATTAAGACATTCATACTATATAATGGTACTGGTCTTTAATTACTAAAATTAACATACATTGTTGCAGTCTAACATAGCTCAATCTATATTTGCTACACTCTTAAAAAGAAGTGGCCACTTATCAGTAAGGGAAAACATTTATTATCATCATGCATTAGATACTGCAAACAAGAAAATAAAGTTTTTGGAACTATCTTTTAAAAAATTAATTTGAATTAACGAAAATAACTGCAAGACCATTCAGATTGCTGAACAACATTAAAATGGCCACTCTTTATTGCAAATTGCTTAAAATAAATACTTGCTTTTGAAAAATGAATACAAAACTAATTAAACAGTGATCATTAAGGTGCTCGCCTCATCGATATGACAAGCAATTAAAATCTAGAAATACTAGTATTGGTTTTCTATGATATACTGGCTTAAGCCTAAAACAATGACCTCAATATTTACTCAAGATTTCTTGTTTTCAAAATTATCTTCTCACTGACTGGTATAAAAACAAAGAGCCCAAGGCCTCACTATGGTTTATTCACTGCTGGTTTTCCATCTACTGAAACTAGACAGTGAACTCTGTAAGAGCAGGGGCCATGTATGTCTTGATCACCACTGTATCCCACAGCACCTAGCACAGTGCTTGGAAATGGGAGGTGCTCAGCAAATATCTGAATAACTGAATCAATGAAAGAGGAGAGTAAAATAACTTTTATTGATTTTTTGCAAATCTGTCTCTGTGCTCAAGCTACTATAAACTAGCAGCTCTAATTTCTAGAAATCTGGATTGAAAAACCTTACCCCAATAATGGGAGGACATGATGACTGACTGACACACACATAGACACATACATTGTAATTAAGACTGCATGGGTCAAAACTGCATTTTGACTATGAGACGTCAACATTATATAAATAAAATTTAACAGTGAAAAAGTGATCAGTCTGGAAGCCCTGTGAATTTTTATCCTACACATTTTGGAGGACATCACATGGGTTAAGAAAAACACAACAAAATCTCATTTGTTCAGATAATCATTTGAATGTTCACATACATTTCTGGTTTGTTATTTATAACTAATTTAATTTTCATTTCCTCATATTAATATATGCTCCTGTTTAGGAGGTAATCAAATTATACCAGTGAGAAAAATCCTCATAGTACCCTCATTGAGTAGCTGATTCTAAGAAAACACTGAACATGAACATGTACAAAAGAGGCATTTGAATAAAAGTGTGTGTGCATTTTTTAATATCTGCACAGATCTTTACATTTCTGTCTGGAGAAAACATGAACAAATCCCAGGTTTCCATGCTAAGATAATGGTTCAGATGACTACCATAAAAGAAGTACATATAAAACAATGAAAACAAATCACATCCTTAGGTTCCGTGATTACTGAGAGGATATCCCCTGCCCTAAGTATTTTATTATATTTCTTAAAAACACAGGAGCAGCAGCTTATCACAAGTCTCCACTACTGTGCATTAATGATGGAATCAGAACAACACAACAGACTCATATGGATGAGAGGACTGCAGAACAACTAGAAGTCAGTTTTATGCTTCTTCTTGCTCTGGATAATTTAGAATTTTGCGGTGTGCCTGACGTAAATATTGCTGCTGTTTGAAGTAAACCTTAAATGCTCCTTTTATGGCAACAAAAGCAATTCCACCCTAAAATAAAAAGAAAAATTAGCCTTTTATAATTTGGGTTTAAAGAAACATAATGGTAAAAAGAATTTTACTTATATTATAAAAGACATATGCTTTGATACAAGACTAATTCAGATAACTTCAAATAAATCAGTTCTGTTTTCTACTAGGGGGTGAGAGAGGGAGAGAGATAGATACTACAGGTAACAGTGGACAAAGAAGCCTTCCTTATTATCCTGAGTAATCTTCCTTCCATTTAGCTATATATCTACTAGTTGTTTTTTTTTTCTTCTACTTATTATTTTTTTTATTGTGGTAAATATGCATGTAACAAAACAATTGCCATGTCATATCTACATCTACTCTTCTATATAAGCAAGAATGCTAGGTTACTGCATGCAAGTTACTATCAGACAGCAGAAGTGGGAATAGTAATAACGACCGCAAATGACGTGAGTGCTTACTATGTATGTGCCAGTACTTCAAATAAATTACCTCATTTAATCCTCACAATAATCCTGAGGTAGGTACCATTATCATCCCCATCCTACAGGCACAGAGAAGTCAAGAAATCTGCTTTAGGTTTCACAGCAAGGCAGTATTTGAGATAGGATTTGAACCAGGCACTCTGATTCTAGAACAGAAGCTCTTTACCATGATTTTGCTGGCAAGAGGGATGAATATGATGACTTATGCATATTCCAGGAGAGAAGTCACTCACAGCATAGTTCCGGAAGGCCAGAAGTGCGGCAGCAGCTCCTCCCCTCTCTATTCCCACTCAAGCTATGGATGGCAGTGGGGATCAAGTAGAGGCTTGTTGCACAGCAGTCATAGACTGAATATTTACACAGCCCCACTGTTTCGTTTTTAACAAATACATAGTTCATTCTCTTTTGTATAGTCATTTGAAAAAAATTAATATTAAAGCCATCTTACCAAGATTGTCCTTTGTAAATTAGAGTTGACACTACTGAACATCAGTTTACCAACTATTGTCGCGATAGTAGGAAAGACAAGGGCTCCACACAGAATTCGGGTAGCTGAGACATGATCTGCTAAAGGATTAGCCTCAGCTGGAATTCGAGGAACAGGACAACCAATCCCTGGAGGAAAAAAACAAATGCAATGTATCACTGCTAATAAATCAGAAGAGCTAAAAACCATTTTAAAATATTAAATATTTCTAAAAAGCAAGATCAATGTGGCATGTATGTTACAACCACATTTCAGGGCTTTACCTGGAAATATACTATTCAAAATTTGTAGTTTATTCGAGTACTTGCGCCATAGTCTGAGCACGTAGTCCTCCCAGCGAATCATCTTGCCTAATATCAGCATGACAGGAATAGTAGGAAGTCCAATTAAAAGGAATAAAGGATCGGCTCTCTCCATAACATCCAGACCTTCTTTATGGCCTACAACCTGTGAAACAGCATTTGCTAGAATCACTTCCTTTTTTAATGAAAGATTTTGCATGCTTAAGCTCAATTAATTTTACAGAAATGCAAAACTTCACAAGACAGCAGAAATAAAGTTCAAAAAACGAGCTAGAAAGCTATCAATCCTGATTTATTTTATAAGAAATGTCTCTCATTCAAGGGAAAAAAAAAAAAAAGCTCCCAAGCTATTTCATATATAGTGGAATAAAAAAAGCTTAAAAAAAGGCTGATCCACACTGATTACATTTCAATAGAAGGGAAGGGACTTCTGGGTCCTGCTTCCATTCCTCTTATTGGATTTGGCTGGTCTGGGTTGTGAGACTGGCTGTAATTCCAGGTCCTATTTGTCTTCCAGCAGAGCATCTGATTTATTGCTCTTCCTCCTAGGAGGTAAACACAGGCAGCCAAGCAGCAGGGCCAGCCTTCAGAGATGGCCTGAAAGCTTACTTCTCTTTGGCTCTTTTTCCTCACTGTGGTGCATGGGATAGGGTATGATCTTGCTAGCGGGCTAACTGTCTCCTCTACCAGACCCACTCTCCCAAAGTGGCGTTCCACAGTCTAGATTTAAGGGGCTGCAGTAGGAGTTCCAAAGAGCCCTGGCTGGCACACTGGTTAAGTGCTCAACTGCTAACCGAAAGGCATTCTGCTTCTGTAAAGATTACAGCCTTGGAAACCTGATGGGGCAGTTCTACTCTGTCCTATAGGGTTGCTATGGATCAGAACTGACTCGATGACACAGGATTTTTTGGTTAGGTAAGTCTCGATTGCTTACAAATTAAAGATGTTTCTCTGAGGTATTATTCTTGGTAGTTGACACGGGAAGGAGACTATTATAGAGTCTTGGGTTCTTAGCTCAACAAGGGTCACACAGTGAGGCAACAGCTTGGTAGGAGGACACCTGCTATATAGATGTCTGCAGTTTCTTTGACCAAACTTGAGAAACAGGCCAGGAAGGAAGGACTGAAAAAGACCTTGTATCTTGATAGAGATGAAGGAAAAGGAAGGAAGGGAGGGAGAAAAGGAGGGAAGACTAAAACTGCCAAGGATGAAACACACTTTGGAAAGCAAACTCATGGAAAAGTAGATGGCATTTTTCAAAAAATGAGATGCGGTTTGTGTCAGCTATTATAGCAGATGATTTGAGTTGGATTACGAGGAGATGCAGAACAAGGTCAAGCTGTGAATGCTCAGGGCAAACTGAAATTCTAGGCATAGACTTGATCCAGGTAAAAATGTTTTATAAAAGTGTGTGGAGAAGACCAAATGGGTGCTTTTTTTTTTCCTGTTGCCCTAATCTTTATTTATTTATTTATTTTTATTGTACTTCAGGTGAAGGCTTACAGAACAAATAGTTTCTCATGGAACAGTAGTACACATATTGTTTTATGACATTGGTTAACAACCCCACAACATGTCAACCCTCTAACTTCTCAACCTTTGTTTTTTTTTTTTTTTTTTGGTC